CGGTTGTTGGGAAACCACGTGTATTGTGTGTTTTCGGGACACTGGAGTTGAAATTCCTTGCGAAATATGAACTATTTGAACAATTTCGGCATGCGCGCGACGACGCGTGCGAATGCACTCCGTTTCGTTTCTTGCAAGGGGCTTATGAAAACGGATGATGTTTGCCAAGCGGGTGCGCGAGCATAGTGTTTGTTGCAGAGCATGATGGGGGCCGATAAAAGGTTTGGCTGGGATAATACGAGCTCACATTTAGGATGGACGATGGGGCAGAATCATATGTGAATTGCGATACGAAAAGGGGAGCAGTTACGTCTGGAGGGGGGGTCGATCTGATTACTTTCTTAAAAAGGAGAAGCTGCGTTGTGCAATCTAGGGCGGCGACGAGGCGGCAGCAGGGCGGCGTCGGCTGCCACATAGCCGCCAGACCAACAGACAGACAGAAACGACGGGCGGCGACGAGGCACAGACGGGGCGGCGACGGCGGCCATATAACGCCGGCAGACCAGCAACCAGGCCCATAACGCAGGCCGATTCGACGGGCGGCGACGGGGCGGCGACAGCGGCCACATAGCCGACAGACCGACAAACAGGCCCAGACGGCGGGCGGCGACGGGGCGGCGACGGCGGCCACACAGCCACCAGACCGACAGACAAGTCCAGTTCTTTAGAAAACAAATACATATAATAATCCCCAGGTGCAAACACTGTTTGGGGAATAAGCCAAACATATTAAACAATCTGGTATCAGGGCCCCCAGTGGCAGAAACTAAAAAAAAACGCCCGTCGTTTTTTTCATTACCCGAAGGGGGTCTGGGGTCGAGGGTCACTTTTTCGTGTACGTAGTCGATTCTTGGCCGAGTGGCATTCCGTGAGGATCCCAGGGCACGGACCCGTACGCCCGTCGCCAGTGATGCCAGAGAGCGCCCCACCGCCGGAGCCCTCCTACTGCGAGCCCAGATGTTCCAATGGCGGCTTCAACCATGAGCCCGGCGCCGTCGAGCCTCCTCGTCTTCCTCCTCCTACTCCTCTTCCTCCTCCTCCTCGTCCTCCTCCTCCTCCTACTCCTCCACGTCCTACTCCTCCTCCTCCTCCTCGTCCTCCTCCTCCTCGCCGTCGTCCTCCTCCTCCTCCTCCTCCTCCTCGTCCTCGTCCTTGTCGTCCTCCTCGTCGTCCTTCTCCTCCTCGTCCTCCTCCTCCTCCTCCTTCTCCTCGTCCACACCCTCCACACGGGCATCTTTTTCCACCACCCGGCAAATGGGGGTCGTTAGACTTTGACAGAACAAACCTCCCGACCCGCTCACCCTGCATACGTCGGCGGGCAGATCCCCGGGTCCGCCAAGGGTGCCCGAGACTACCGTCCCTCCAGACCCGACTCGCTCACTCAGCATACCGCGGAAGCCAGATCCCCAGGTCCACCGAGAAGCCGAGAGACTCCCGCCCCTGTGAGCATGACAGAGCATAAGTAACAGCACAGAGCATAAGAGAACAGGACATGACAGAACAGAGCATACTAAGTTAACATAGCATGACGTAACACATCAGAGCGTAACACATCATCCCAGAGCAGGGCCGATCATGCCATGACATACAATGTTGAGAGAGCGGAACAAGCATAACATATACTTACCCCAGTGCGACCCTACCTAGAGGTTGGAGCCCCTAGGAAAGCAACATTAGTTGCTATGCTACGCTGTAATATGCTATGCCATGCTATGCTATGCTATGCTGCGCTATGCTATGCTATGCTATGCTATGCTATGTCATGCTGCGCTGTGCTATGCTAAGCTATGCTATGCTAAGCTAGGCTATGATCTGCTATGCTATGCTAATCTGCGCTGTGCTATGCTGTGCTGTGCTGCGCTGCGCTATGCTATGCTATGCTATGCTGCGCTATGCTATGCTATGCTGGGCTATGCTATGATATGCTGTGCTGCGCTATGCTATGCTATGCTGTGCTCTGCTATGCTAAAGCTTAGCGAAGCTAAGATGAAGGTAAGCTAAGCTAAGATAAACCTGAGCTAAGATGAAGCTAAGCTAAGCTAATATGAAATAAGCTAAGCTAAGATGAGATAAGCAACGCTAAGCTAAGGGGACGTAACTGGGGGAACCGCGGGGCGGATACTGGGGGAACCGCCCGGGGCGAGTTGCACTGCCCCGCCCTTTAAGTTTACCGAGTAAGAACCCTTCTAGGCAGAGCCTAGGTAGGGAATAATATCACACAACGTAACATACCAGTGCATACCATACCATACCACACCATAACATATCTGGCCATGGCGTAACATATCATAACACGTCACAGCGTCACAGGGCACGCATTTACATAGCATGGCAACACACACCATGACAAAACACGGTACAAACTATATTGAGAGAGCAAGGCGCACCATAACAAGACATATTATGCCGTACCACGGCATGACATACATACACATACCCCAGCATGGAGACCACCGTGACATCGCAAAACATTACACGGCATAACGGGCCGTAAGAGAGTATACCATAACAAATAGGGCCAACACATACTATACTGTTTGTACGATTGCTACCGCGACGGCGACGCATGTAGTCGAACATCATATAATGCTACATACTGAAGGGGAATACCATGACATGGGAACACATATCAAACTTCAATGACGAGGTCACAACGCAATCAACACCATATAGCAGCATTGTCGGACTACTGCTACCTCTACGGCATCGGCTTTGGTGTAACATCATGAACTGTATCATGATTGAAGGGGCATGCCATCATCTGAGCAGGGCATAGCATAACGCAGCGAGCAGAGCATAGCGCGAGCAGCATCACACAACATTACACAATCGAAGACCACAGCATATCATACCAGTGCATACCATGCCATATCTGAACATACCATAATATACTTTAGCGTCGCAGAGCGAACCACCACTGACAAGGAATCTCACACCATAACCGACCGTACCATGATATCATCAAGCACGACGTGCGCGCCGAGGCCAGGATGGCCACAAGAACAAACAAGCGCAACAACTACCGATTGGACAACGTGTCTAACGTGACAAGCGTCATGACGTCACGGCGGCCGGTCGAGAACGAATCCGAACATGACGGAATCTATCGTTGTTGAGTACTGTTCGATGTAGCAACGACTGATTAATGGCGCCCTGTCAAACGCAGCATCCACACCGACGTACGGCTGGCAACAGGACAAACACAGGAGCACCGACAATAGATTAGATGACGTATCGAACGTGACAGACGTCACGACGTCACGTCGCCCCGTCGAGACCAGAACACAGCAAACCATATGTGCATATGACAGAACAGAACCGAAGAGAGCACAACAGAGACCGAGTAATACCGTCCTATCGTACCCAAGCCTACGCTGGCCACAGAGACAACCAGCGGTGGACAACGACCGAGTGGACGACATCTCAAACGTGACAGGCGTCACGACGTCACGCTGGCCCGTCCAGAGCAAAGCGAACATACTATAACACAATATCATATAGCAACCACCAATGCACGGCGCATACAGGCGCAGCAACTACTGCTTGGACAACGTACCTGACGTGACAGGCTTCACGACGTCACGCCAGTCCGTCGAAAAGAAAGCATCACTTAATGCAGTAGAACACGGCAGAACATGATGGAGTATCACATATCCGACCAAATCAATGGAATACAGCAGCGACAGACTAACGGCGCCCCGTCAAATGCAGCATCCACGCCGACGTACGGCTGGCCACAAAACAAATACAGGCGCAACAACGACTGAGTAGACGTCACGCCCCACGTCGAGAGCAGAACATGCCAAACCATATGTGCATATGAAATAACAGAACCAAGCAGGACATGATAGGGTAGTGCAGCAGAGATCGAATCATGGCGTCAGATCAAGCGCGACATGCGCGCCGAGCCCAGGCTGGCCACAGTAACAAAGAGTAGCAGACTCGGGGACACACGCCGAAACGGTTGGAGCCGCTTGAAGCAACGCGTCTTTCTCCTGCAGCTCCTCCACCCCGGCAAGCAACGCCAGGGGGAGGAGTCGGACAACAACTCTCGCCCCCGCGCTCTCGGCGTCTCGAGGAGGAGGGAGAGGGGGTAGGAGACGAGGGGACCGGCAGCACAGCGAAGTACGGAAGGCCCGCGGAAGGAAAAGGGCCACGGCTCCGCTCTCCGGCGGCCGCTCGGGGCGAGCCGGGCACCCCCGGAGTGCCCCGATGCGCAGCGCGCAGCACGTGGTATATATATATATATATATATATAGGGAGGAAACAAACCTACCTCGCTTTTGACCACCCTCGCTTCCAAGAGATACCAAGCGATGCCAAACTACGGCCTGTACTGGTCAGGCCGCTTGACGAGGAGGCGCGTGGTATGACTTGGTTTTTCCTGGAAGCGAAAGCGGGGGAGGTAATTCACGCTCTGAATATAGACACGAAGCTCAACACGTGGACTGAAAGCGCGGGTCTCACGCGATGCGCCCCCCCCCGAAACGCGGGCCAACACGTGCCGAGCCAACGCGCAACGCATCGGCACGGACGTCTGGAGCACGGGTTTTGCGTGCTGCGTTCCGAGACGGGGCGTCTCGAGGCAGCTGCAGCCGGGGCCCGCCACAAGGAGCCTTCCACAGGAAACCCAACCCTGAGTCCCCAGGACGTCCACTGATCTTTGGCGTGAGAGCGTCACGCTTTCCATAGCAAGACCATCCAAACCCAAGAAACCCAGGGCACCCTGGAGGCAAGCAGGGTGCTTCTTGGCATGGGTCTCCACTGTATAGACGAGCGCGTTCCACTCCGCGGGGGTGCCAGGGGGGGTCTTGGGTTCGTTCCCTTCCCCGCTGGGGCGCGGGGGTGGTGCCGGCGGGGTTGGCCGCGCCGCGTTTTCACGTTCGTCGTCCCCCCCCGGTTGATTAACAAGAAGTTTGGAGTAGGCACTTTGCGAGTAATGGAACGCGCACGGTGACTGTGGGCTGCTCCTCTGACGTGGCCGAGGAGGCGGGCGGCACCTGGACCCCGCTCGCTGCACGGCGGACAGCATCGCCACCACGCTCAGGGAGCCGGCCACGAAGGCCACGAGGATCTCCCGCAGGCGGTGGGCGCGCAGCCTCTCCGCCCGCGCCTGTTGTGCGGGGGGGAGGGGGGCGGCGCGGCGGGCTGCCGGAGGAGGAGGAGGAGGAGGAGGAGGAGGAGGAGGAGGAGGAGGAGGAGGAGGAGGAGGAGGAGGGGGAGGAGCAGGAGGAGGAAGAGGAAGAGTAGGAGGTGGAGGAGGAGGAGGAAGAGGAGGAGGAGGAGGAGGAGAAGGAGGAGGAGGAGAAGGAGGAGGGGGCGACCGCGCGGCGCCCACGGGCGTCGCCAGGGGCGGGCCGGACCCCTGGCAGGTGGTGGCGCGTTTAATGCCATGCGGAAGCCAGGGAGCTCCAGGATGGGCTGGAAAAGTCGCCAGAAGGGGCCCCGAGGCTGGTCCAAGAGGGCCCCAGGACGGTCCCAGAGCGCTCGAGCATGTCCCAGCGGGCCTGCTGAGCGCCCAACCAGCACTCAGGGCGCTCCAGGATAGATCCCAAAAGGAGCCTGAATACGTCCCCGAAGAATCCTAAACTTGCGGAGGTGCTGGAAAATGTTAACGTTCCTGCCTGTCCGAACTTCCATCGGAACCTCTGACGCTCGAGGACGGCCTAAGAAGCTCCCAGTATGGCCGCAATACGACCAGTGCGGGCCAGAAACAAGCCAACGACCCTCCCAAGACGGCCCAAGAGGGTTTCCAAAGGGAGAATTCGAACTTATATGTCGATCCCTTCGCCCATAGCGGACCCCGGGCACCGCCAACCGGCGCCGAAGAGGCCCTCACAAGACAGGCACCCCCAGGAGGCTTCAAAACTGTTTCCAAAGACACCCCGCAACGTTTCTGACCACAACCCAGGCGCCAAGACGGCATCGGCCAGAGGCCACTCGATGCATGTTCCTCCGGTCCATAATCGACATCCGCCGCTCGAATCATCCAGTACAAACGAGCTTCCATGTATGAGCATGCCGTCCTATGTCCCTCATTATATACACACACCGAAAAACACACCAGCACCGTCTAGATTCTGTGTACATACATACATACAGACAAACAGACAGACATACATACATGCGTCCTTGTATACACATACACACATACATTTACATACATACGTGCATGCATACATACATACATACATAATGCATGCACATGCGTACACATACATATATACAAACACGCATACACACATGCAAGCATACATACGCATACATGTGCACATAAACGTGCATATGCACATCCACAATTACACATACATGTATACATACATTACATACATGCGTACATCGGATCGGATCGGACCCCTCGGAGGCAGCAGATCGGATGTCTCTGACGCTGGGTGCCTCTAGGATCGGGCTACACCTGAATTTTAGCCGCGTGTTCACACACTGAAGCGAAACGCTGGTCTTAACGCCTGCTCGTGCCTGCAAGTCTCTTGATCGAATCCATTATTCTCGAGTCGCATCCTGGGTTTGGCCTGGCAGCAGGGGCAGGTCAATACGAGCCTCGAATTGAAAGCGGCTGTCGCTGGGACAATGGCGGAGGGACGGGGGACCTACGAGGCCGCGTGGGAGGAGGGGGGAGGAGAGGAGGCCCCAGAGGCTCGAGAGGCGAGGAGGCACTGGGTCGCTGGGCAGGCTTGGCTCGGGAGGCCCAGAGAGTTTCTGCTTTTCAGCCTGGGCCAGTGCGCGGGCATGTGCCAGCGGCGAAGCTGTCCAAATCTCATTGCGGGAACGCGACGCAAGATGGCCTCCAGGTCCTGAACTAACGTCGTGGAAGTAGGCGGGCTCTCTGATGCACGCGGTGGGCCTCCCATGCCCCGAGGGGAAGTGCCTCCCGAAGGTCGGTGCCCTCTGCCTCCATATGCCCTCGATGCGAGCGAGGGGGGCGGCTCGCCCAAATGCTCGCGAGAAGGCAGAGGAGGTGATCAGTGCGTGCCAACGGGTGACTCGGCTGAAGCCGGCGCACTCTGCGATGCGTGAGGTGGGCTACCAATGCCCTGAACAACTGGCGAGGAAGTAGGCGCGCTCGTAGATGCATGTGTCGTGCGTCCCACGCACTGAACAACTGGCGTAGAAGTAGGCGCGCACTCTGATGCAGACGGTGAGCTATCAATGCCCATCGCTGCCGTATTCTGTGGAATACGGGGCCCCATTTCGCACAACTATGCATTGCCCAGTGAAAAGCGAAGAAGTCTATCCCATGAGTGCGTCCTCTAAATGCGTCGGTTTTGTGTGTAGTATCCTCTCCATGTGCACCATCGGTCCCTGTCCTGGCTTGCGCCTCGCTCCCGTCTGGATGAGTGAGTCGTGAATCGCGCTGGGGTCGACGTCGCTCCTGGGGTTGAGGTTGATTTGTAGTTTGCACTGCGCTGCGTCGTGAGTGTCGCTGGCGTTCGCGAGTGGGGCGAGCTCGACGTTTTGCTTGATGTCCATAACTTTCAGCTTGTTGCCGAGCGTCGTCAGGTTCTGTCGGTTGAGGCAGCCGACGGACGCGCCTTCCTGGTGAAGACCTTCGAGCAAGCCTGCGAAGGCCGCGGTGCGGATCGCGCCTGTCTTCGCCATCTCAACGTCGATCTGTGGCGCCGCCGTCGAGCTGCGAATATCTTCTGCTTTTTCCACCCACGCCCGAACTCGGGCTCGGATCGCCGCGGCGCTTCTGGTGCTGGGGGAGACGAGGTAAGTCTTGATCAAGATGGCGTCGGTCTGTCGCTGCCCCATCGCCGCGTTGACCAGTAGTTTCATGACTGCGGGAAACATGACCTGAATGTCTTTCATGTCCATCTCCTCCAGTTCGAGTGGGCCCACGTCCACAAGCTTGGACTTCGACCCACTCTGTTGGTCGCCGCGCTCTCTTTGCTGGCGGCGGCGGTGCTTGCGAGCAGGCTGCGCCGCTGCTGCCGCGGCAGCGCCTGCGTGCTCTCCAGCGCTGGGCAGTGAGTTCACGCGGGCTTGCAACTCGCCAGTCGTGGCGAAGGTGAGCTCGCAGTCGTCGCCTGGGCAAAAAAAGCGGCGGTGGATCGTTCGCGTCGAAGTTGCAATCAGAGCGGTGTGTCTGGCACCGCCCAGAACGATAAGCAGCAACAAGATGGTTTATCGCAGCCTGTCGGCTCGCGAACGTCGACAATTAGGGCATTGGCTCGTTATCGTGAATTGCGTGCTCGTCCGTGCCCGCCCCCCTCCCCACTCATCGTTTGGTGTGCTCGGAGCGCTCGTTTTGTTTCAGCCGTGAACAAGCATGACGCGCCATCTTCGCGCATGAGGCCGCGTGCATGGGGTCCATTCCAGGAGACAGTTGCAACTGGGACACTCCGTGGTGGAGCGGGCTGTTCCAGCCACCACTTTCGCGCGGGTGCAGTCGCGAGCTCGATGGAATCAGGTCGGCCTGGTTTCGGCCGAAAAATGCAGAGACAATCATCTCCGATGACGTCGAGGCATGCGCGTTCGTTAGCAAAAGTCTGCAACAACCTCATATCGTCGGGGAACTGCAAGCGCCGCAGGTGGGTCAACTGCGCAGGGCCTCCACAATCTGAGCGCGCAGGGCGCGAGCGAAGTCCATCGCCGCCGTGGTCTCGCAGAGTAGCTTTCCAAATGCACGGGCAAGCGGTTGGGCATGAGGCGCAGGTTCGCTTGAAACGCGTGGCCATCGCTTGATACGCGTGATCTGTATGTCCAGGGAAGGCGGCGCCAGCTTCAGACTCCTCCGAACTTCATGCGGCGAGATGTTGCGCACTACTCCGGTTGTGCCAGGTGGGTCGTCGCCGTCGGCGGGCTACTTGATGCATGCGGTGCCTCGGAGGAGTGCTCGTGCATATCGTGCCGTGCGCGCGACGATATGCACGTGCCGTGCCTTTGCCAGAACACGCGCTTCGAGTCCTGATGTGGCCGCTGGTAATAATTGACTTCTGGAAACCATTTTGCGCCGTCCAAGATATCTGCAATTATTCCAGAAACGCCCCATGCTACGCCAGCCACGAGCAGCAGCAATGCGCCGTGCCTTGACCTCGGCGTGGTTGTGTCCGCTGGCCTGCATGATGGCGCCTGGGAACAAAGTCGAGGTGTGGACTTCGCCGTCAACAAGCACCTTGCGGTAATGTAGGGCTCGTGAGTATCTGAGAGCGCCAGTGCCAACAAACGTCGGTCGTGCAATTCTGTTTCCCCGCATTCTGTTGTAGACCAATCGCGCTCAGCTTGTCATGCAAGATCTGGTCGGAGTGCTGTGCTCTGTAGGCCGCCATCTGCGTATCGTGACACATGTGAGTCTTGGTAAGGTCGTCTGCGTACTTGCGAACGCTGAGGTCGACGTTGGTCCCCGTGAACTCGCACCCCGCAATGATGAGGTGCTCGCATCAGTAGTACATGCAGTATTCCAAGCTGTAGTGGGCGGCATGAAGGACACGCGGAACTTTATCGCCGCGTCGGCATCACCCATGAAGCATCCCAGTGTGCGCTGGTAGCCGTGAGTGTCAATCCCGTCGCTGCTCGCACGTGCTGCCCGACAATGTCTGCCTTTCACGATCGTGCAATCGCCAGGGAGGTATATCTTGTCCACTGCGGCGTCAAGGTAGGAATGGTCCAGATGCGAAGGCGTTCGCCATGTCATGCTTCGTGGTGATGTGGCTCCGTTGCTGTTTGGTGAGTCGCCACTGCAGTGCCAACCCTGTCGCGATAGCAGCTGATCGCGAGCGTGCCCGAGCGTAGCAATGCTCTGCGTCGTCCAACGGAGTGGCTGTTAGTACTTGTTTTGATGTCACTCATGTCTTTCCAAACGTGCATAATCAGTGTCACAGTCTAGTGCCTCGAGCACGCGGCTGGTTGATCACCTTGCTGACTTGATGAGTTTGAGATGGTTTCCACCATGCATTGAGCCGTTAAGGTTGACGAGCTGCAGCAAGTTGAATGAGAATCGCATCGCCGATTGGGGGGCCGAGGAATATCATCGCACGGTCGAACTGTCGGCAATCCTCTTCTTTCCGATCTTCACTTCTGTCCACGAGCAGAGGAGTCCAAATATCTGCACGTAGAGACCATTCAGGAGCAGCTCGTTGGCGTCTGCAATGCTTTCGTAACCTGTGCTTGATCGCGTCGAAATCGTACTGGGCGTGTCTCCACTGATGCGTAGAAGGGCAGAAACTTTTGTCGTTCGCTGCAGCGGTGATAATGAAGTGGGTGGTATTAATAGGGGCTGCCTCCATTCCACCTTCAGCGCCAGGCAATGCCATATCTTCGGTCCAGGTCTGAACGGAGGGTCGAGCGTCAGGTAGATCGAAGTAGCATCGCTTGCCAATGTCCTTACCGTTGCCAGCAAGGCGTCGGCAAGCTCGCCAGACCTCTGCTTCCAGTCTTGCTTCGTCAGCCTGTTGGAGTTCGTGAAAATGCTGCTCATCTCGCAGGTCGCGCAGTCGACGTCGGATTTGTCTGCAAGCTGCGCTGCAACGTCGGAGGGCGAGCGTGCTCTCTAAGTCGTCTGTGAGATTCTGTCGGGCGAGCGTGCGTTCGTGAAGGGCGCGTCGGCGTTGTTGCGCAAGTTGCTGGTACTCTATGCCGATCGGGAACTTGTTCGCTTCAAAATATTCAAGAGCCCGTGATCGTATCATTGATAGTAAGTGTTGCTATCCAGACTCCATGACGCGCCTTTCTGCCCAGTCCGCCACATGTCCATCTCTATGTCATCGCGGAGCTGCTTCGCCCAGTCGAGGACCCTTCCGTCATTCCAGGCTAGGAATATGCGGGTGTAGTCCCACTGCGGCGTCGTCTGGGGCTTGTCGCACGCGACGGTGCAGTCCACGTCTATCGGAGGCTGCGGTGCGAGATCGAAGTGGGACGGAGAGCCCCCCACCGGGACATCGACTTTGGTTTCGTGTTCGTGCGTGCCGCGCGTGCGGGCGAGGCGAAGCTGCGCGGGTGGGCGAGAGGAAAGTCTCCTGTGGCTGTGGCGCGGCCAGTCCACATGATTTTCCCTCTGGCAAGCGGTGGCCCGCGGTGTCCCGCTGGTGTCCCGCTTGTGGCTGGGCCCTGGCCGGGCCGAATGAGTCTTCCTCCGGCAAGCGGTGGCCCGCCGGTTTCCCGCCGGTGCTCCGCCGGTGCCCCAGTGCCCCGCTGGCGCGAAAAAGACAATGAGACCGATGACGAAATCTATTGGGAGATCGATAGTGAGATCGATAGTGAGACCGATAGTGAGATCGATCGTGAGATCGATAGTGAGATCGAGTGATATCGATCGGGAGGTCGTTAGTGGGATTGATAGCGAGATCAGGAGTGAGATCGACAGTGCAATCGATCGAGCGAGAGCGATCGTGGGATCGATGACTCCATCGATCGTGAAACCGATAACGACATCGCTTGTGCGATCAACAGAGAGATCGACTGTTGCTCATTGCTGCCCCCCTCCCCAATTCACAGTCAACACTGCTGCCCATTGCTGCCCCCCCCCAGCCTCCTTATCACCCGCAATGTGGTCGCATAGGTACATGGCACCATGTGATCCAGGAGGCGTTGTGTGATGGGAATGCTCGGAATCTTTTGGTCAGGCGGTGCGCAATGATGTGGCGCCGTGTTCGCGGTAGATAACGCATCGGCATCACGAGGTAGTCGATGTAGCTGGTGTCCGCGAAGTTCGTGAGAGTAGGGCCGCGCGGGTGGTGCGTGTTCGTCGCACATAGGGCGTAGTCCTTCATACATGTGTGAGAAAAAAAAGCTTCACCAGCGTAGTGCTGCTGCCCGTGCGCGTGCATACCAATGGTGGCGTCGTCGTCGTCTTCAAGAGTGTTGGTACGATGGAGGCCGCCATTCAGGTCTTTACCGATGAACACGCAAGTACGGTTCGGCGAGTCCGAGAGGATGCCGTGCAGGTAGCTGAGCATTTTGCCTATGATAACTTTGTTCTTGGAGGCGTTGGCGAGGCGCTGCGATCTCGGAGGGAAGTATACTGTGATAGAAGTGAAATCAATCTGTGAGCTCTTAACGCGTGTAGCGCCTACACGGCCGCGACGAGCGGTAGGAGGCTGCCATATCTTCACTATGTGTGCGTTCCGAGGACATCGTCGGCTCAACCAGATCTCCGTGCCGCATGATGTGTTGCCTGTCGTGTCCTTGTTGCTGCGATGCCATCCACACTTCAGCATGAGAAACTCTGCCGATGAGTATGTCTCGTAAGGGGGTCGTGGTCTTAGTTTGAGGACCTGAGAAGACTACTGCATCAATGTGTTCCAGCTCGCGAGAGATCTCCAAGCGCTTGTCGTAACCTTGCAAAAACATCGGGTTCCATGCTATGGGACGCATGTAAACCGTCAGTGTGTGACAGAGAAGCCCGACCTTCGGGACGTTGGGCATATCGTCCACGCTCTGGAGATCTCAGAAAAAAAACTCGGGCCAGAGCTATACATACATACGTACAAACACGCAGACGCACAAACATACAAACATACATATCTATACAGCCCATTCTTTGGCATTACATTACGTTGCATTTCGTTGCCTTACATCATAGTACACTACACTACTTCCCATTCCATGGCGTTACACTACACTACATAACATTCTGTTACACTACATTGCATCATATTACCCTACAACACAATACAATATACTGCAATACATTACGTTACCTTGGATTACATTGTATTCCGTTGCATACGCACATGCGTAGAAACAGGTGTTCCACAGAAGTGCCCCACAAAGACTTCTCATCCCCAATGGCCCCGTAAATGGCTCCTCCGCTTCCTCCTCTCCCTCCTCCTCCTCTTTCTGTTCCTCTTTCCCCCCCCCTCCTCCTCGTCGTCTTCCTCCTCGTCTCCCTTCTCCTCCTGCTCCTCTTCTTCCTCCTGTTCCTCCTCCTCCTCCTCCTCCTCCTCCTCCTCCTCCTCCTCACGGCATCTCAAGCACCCCTCACGGGGCCTTGGGGGGGCCCAGGGGCCCCAAAGGAAACAAAAAGCTTGGGGTACCTCGGGACAGGGGCATCTTCAGCAACTCCCGACCCGGGGGGCAGGCAGAATAGAGGGAAGACGAAGCCAGGACGAGGACAAATTCGGGTGAGGATAAAATCCAGAATCTCCGATATCCGCGGCTCTGGAGGATGTTTCGGGCGCCGCGGCCTCCTCAAAGCGTTCCAGAGCGCTCTGAGAACGTTCCAGAACGCTTTGGAACGGATTGATCCTCGTGCTAGCCCCGTCCGAAGAGGCCTCCTACATGGGGTCTGAGGATCACATCACATCGATGATACACCGCCGATGCATCGACGATGCACCGTCGACATCGGCGATGTAACGGCGGCCTACACCAGGTCGCTCTGGCGAAGGGTCCTCCTCCTCCTCGTCCTCCTCCTCTCTCCTCTCTCCTGTCTCCTCCTCTCTCCTCTATCCTCCTCTCTCCTCGTTCCTCTTCGCCTCTTCCTCCTCCTCCTCCTCCTCCTCCTCTTCCTCCTCTCTCCTCTCTCCTCTCTCCTCTCCTCCTCGTTCTCCACCTCCTCCTCCTCCTCCTCCTCCTCCTCCTCCTCCTCCTCCTCTTCCTCTTTCTCCTACGCGGAACCCATCATCGGGGACGTACTGATTCAGGCCTTGCGAGATCAGAAGCTTCCTATATGGGGTCGGAGCAGATGGCGTCGACGGATCGCACCGCATCGCTGACGCATTGGCGATGCATTGGCGACGCAGTGGCGATGTCGGCGATGCATTGGCGCCCTCGGCGTGGCGAAAATGGGGCCCCGCATCGAGCTGCATCGCCGATGCATCAGCGATGCGGCGCGATCCTCCAACCCCATCTGGGAGGCCTCGAAAGATGCTGCAAGATCCTGCAGGATCCTGCGCCCAAGAGCGCGTTTCTTTATGTTCGGCGATGACGGGCGTCACGGGGGGGGGGGGCGGGAGGGGGTATGACGTAGCGCCCCCCCCCCGCCGTGTGGCCTCGGCACCACAGCCGCGCCCGCGCGCACGACGCGACGAGCGACGAGCGACGAGCGACGAGCGACGACGGCGACGACGACGCGAGCATCATGTAGGTAGCGATATGCACCACTGCGCCTGCGTACACCACAACGCTCGCGTGCATCACAGCGCGCGTGTATAACACAACGCTTGCGTACACCGCAACAACCGTGTGCAACGCAACGCCTGTGTACACCACAGCAGCCGCGTACACGACAGCGCCGGTGTACATGTGTCCACCGCAACAACCATGTGCCACACAGCGCCTGCGCACACCACAGTGCTTGCGTGCACCGCAGCGCCTGTGCACGCCACGGCGCCTGTCTACACCACAGCATCTGCGTGCAACGCAGCGTTGGTGTACACCTCAGCGCCTGCATGCAAAGGACAAGTAGAAGGAGCATGTGCGTGAGAATTTGCTGTGGACAACTAGACGCCACGCCACAAAAAGTGCTGATAATCGAATGCGACGTTCATCCCTCCTTCCTCCTCCTCCACCTCCACGACATCCTCCTCGTCCTCCTTTTTACCCCCTGTCGTGCGGGTTGTCGCTACAGTGTACGTGCGCATCGCAGCGTGCACCGCGAAATGGTTTATTGAATTGGTCGAGTTGGTTCTCGGACGGCCAATTGAGCTGGAGCCTCCTGGACACAAATGGGAAGAGTTTGGGTGATGCGGGCGGGCTCACGAGGACTCGTGGATTCCAGCGGCGTTCCGTTGTCCATAAAGATTCCTTTCTATTGTTTTCAACGGAATCCACAAGCGCTCCATTTTTCCCTACCTAGGCTCTGCCTAGAAGGGTTCTTGCTCTCTTTGCTCAAAGGGCCGGGCAATGGAAACCGCCCCGGGCGGTTCCCCAAGTCCCCGCCCCGCGGTTCCCCCAGTTGCGCCCCCTGGGTTCACCCAGCTTAGCTTAGCTTCAGCTTAGCTTTAGCTTAGCTTGAGCTTAGCTCTAGCTTAGTTTTAGCTTAGCTCTAGCTTAGCTTTAGCTTAGCTTCAGCTTAGCTTGCAACTTAGCTTTAGCTTAGCTTCAGCTTAGCTTCAGCTTAGCTCTAGCTTAGCTTTGCTTAGCTCTAGCTTAGCTTCAGCTTAGCTCTAGCTTAGCTCTAGCTTAGCTTTAACTTCGCTCCAGCTTAGCTTTAGCTTAGCTTTAGCTTAGCTTTAGCTTAGCTCTAGCTTAGCGTTAGCTTAGCCTCAGCTTAGTTCTAGCTTAGCGTATGCTTAGCTTCAGCTTAGCTCTAGCTTAGCTTTAACTTCGCTTCAGCTTAGCTTTAGCTTAGCTTTAGCTTAGCTTTAGCTTAGCTTTAGCTTAGCTTTAGCTTAGCTTCAGCTTCGCTTCAGGTTAGCTTCAGCTTAGCTTTAGCTTAGCTCAAGCTTAGCGTCAGCTTAGCTTCAGCTTAGCTTTAGCTTAGCTCTAGCTTATCTTCAGCTCAGCTTTAGCTTGGTTTCAGCTTAACCTCAGCTTAGCTTCAGCTTAGCTTCAGCTTAGCTTCAGCTTAGCTCTAGCTTAACTTTAGCTTAGCTCTAGCTTAGCGTTAACTTGGTGTTAGCTTAGCTTTAGCCTAGCTTTAGCTTAGCTTTAGCTTAGCTGTAGCTTAGCTGTAGCTTAGCTTTAGCTTAGCTTCAGCTTAGCTTTAGCTTAGCTTTAGCTTAGCTTTAGCTTAGCTTTAGCTTAGTTTATTTCTTAGCTTTAGCTTAGCTTTACTGTTACTACTAATGCTGCTTTCCTAGGGGCTCCAACTCCTAGGTAGGGTCGCACTGGGATAATGTTGTAAGGATTTCTTTTAACATTCTATATGCAACAGTGGTGCTGGGTTGCGCACGGTTGGTGTGGTGCACACAGGCGCCGTGGTGCACACAGGCACTGCAATGCACGCAGGCATTGGGGTGCACACTGGATCTGTGTTGCACACGGCTGATGTGGTGTACGCAGGCGCTGTGGTGTACAAAAGAACTGTTGTGCCCACAGGCACGGTGGCACAAACTGGCGTCGTGTTGCACGTGGCTGCTGTGGTGTACGTAGGCGGTGTGGTGTACACAAGCGCTTTGGTGTACGCAGGCACTATGGTGTACACAGGCGTTGTGGTGCAGATCGCCACCTACATGCTGGTGTTACCCGTCCTTCGTCATTCCTAAGCATTCGCCGGCGCGAAACGTAACGCCGTCGACCCCCTCCCCCCCCCAAATGATTGCCGCCATCGGCCCCCCCACACCCACCCAGGCTCCAGCCGCGTCCGCGCGCACGACGACGATGAGCGACGAGCGACGAGCGACGAGCCACGAGGAAGACGACGACGACGACTTGTGGCAGCACAGGATTGGATGAACGTTTTTGGGCTTGAGCCAGAGAGGGTAACAGTACACCAAGCACACACTGCAACTCGGTAGGACGATCAAGGTAATGATCTCAAATGCTAAACCTAATACGCAAAATCTGGAGATCAGTCACACCCGTCTGACTTCTCCTAGGTTTAGCACCCTCTTGGGCTCAACTAACTGCAACTATCCGTTCCTGTGCTAGAACGGCCCCCTTCTCTACTTGAAACGGAGAGGGGATAGCAAATAGCAGAAACTGCACACGAGAAAATTATCACTGAAAAAGCGGAGATGGCAAGGGCAAAATGCACGTAGATGACTCAGCTGAGAAAAGGGAGGAGGGGGGAGGAGAACCGACACCACCACCACCACCACTGGCTGAGCTTCCCGACAGGAACTGGATCCATGTGGGCTGTGACTCTCGGGCGAGTTCCTCTCTCGAAGCTGCCTGCGAACGATTCTTGAGCTGCGGCTCGGAGCGGCGTCTCGCCACCTCTGAACTCTCGTCGACCAAAATCAGGCGACCATGGGACATTAAATCGAACAAAGCGGCATTGCACTTCGTGACGTCCTCCTTGGTCAACGCGTCCACTGGCATCCGCCCGTGCGGGATCCAGCGAACATGGCCACGCGCACGCTCCAGAGACTCACAGATAATGGCAAGGTCAATGGCCGTGCGCCTGTCCCGCGCGCACGCATTGCCTTCCTTCTGCATTGTATCATAGATCGACTTGGCGTCGACCACATGCACCTGCCTCTCGCGAGATCCGAGAGAGCAGTCTCGTCGCAGCACGGTCGTGAACGGTCCAGAGGCTCGGCGGCAGTCGGGAGTGTCCACGTCGTGGAAGACTACATCTCGATACATGATCTGTAAAAACTCTACCTCTGCAACTGCTGCGGATAGGGCCTGCGTCTCTCCAGCCAGAGTGGATGGCACTTTTCGCCTTAGCTTGGACGACCTCCAGCCCAGAATCGAAGCTCGGACTGCCCGGTTGTCCAGCACAGATCGATCGGCCGCCAGGACCATCCAGGCCCCCTGTGTGGGATCGACCGGCAGCCCGCGCTCGTCATTCAGGCCGTCGGTGGAACCAATGC